ATTTTCTTTCGAACCCTTTCCCCTCTCCCTACTCATCCTTTCATCCACCGTAAGAGTCTATTTATAGTGAGCACAGGCTCCTTCACTTAGCATCCTCCTTTACGTTCTTCCAACTGAAAGGTCTACCGTCTTCCAATTTCTTTCTAGAATATACTATACACCAAATTCTACGAGAAGAAATACTTAAAAAAAAAAAAAAAAAAAAAGAAATGGAAAATGGAAAAAAGTGAAGAATATTTTGTCAAGATTTAGGAAAAATATTAGAAACAATTTGTATCTTATAATAATTGGTTGTATCTCAAGAATAAAAATTGAGAAGGTAATTACAAATTCACAGAATTTAAATCGAAATATTTTTTTTTTCCATTTATCAAATTATGACTTTCACAAAAAGTGTTTATAAAAAAAAAATAATTGAAATAAAACTTCTTCGTAAAGTTGTTATCCTTTATTTTTATCCTTACCATGTAAACAAATTTTTTTGACATAAAATAAAAAATATGATAAAACTCTGAAAGAAATTACAGAGAGATGAAAAAGTATGATATTCACGATAATACATTTTCTGTTAACTTGTTACATATCTCATTGTCAGTTTAAGAACATCGTGCCTTATCGCTCGAGTGTACATAATTTATCAACTTTTTATTACCTTGCGTGATATACATAAACGTGTTTAGGCGCGTTGACAAAGGCGATAACGAAATTAAGGTTAAGATTAATATAGCAGGAAGAATTTGTCAAGTTTTAAGAAAGATATAGGAAGAGAATATATATATATATATATATATATATATATATATGTATATGAACTAAACAAAATAAAAAATAAAAATTATCTAATACATATAAAAACTGAAATATATACATATTTAACTTCATTCATTTAAATTACTTATATAAAAAAGTTAAAAGAAAAAAAAGGAAAAAATAAAAATGAAAAACGCACGTTTGAAACATTAAATAAATATTCAAATATAAAAACGTCATCAAACACTCTGGAAAAATAAAAACTAACCGATGCTAACCAATATATTCAACAAACTTGACGATCTAATAAACGTCAAAGAAAAAGAAATAAAGAAAGGAAGAAGGAAAGAAAGAAAGAAAATAAAATAAAAAGGAAAAAGTCCTAGCAACTTAGGAGAAGTCTAAGGATAGGGTGGAGGATCAACGGGGACGATGACAACGAGCGTTACTACACAACAACAACGACAACGACGACGTAGAAACTCGACTTCTTAAGGCTTTCGAAGGACGTTGCAGGAAGATCGGAGGGATCTTGCCTTTTCCGCCAAGTACTATGTGAGAATGTTACTTGGTCTAAGGTAACTAACTCCGTAGCAAAAACTGGACGTTCTCCTGTGCCTACTTCGCCATTTTCAATTTTTTCTTCCTTTTTTTGTTTTTAATTTTATTTCTTCTTTTTTTTTATTTACTTCGACCAACCCCCTTGTCCACCAACCTCCTCCTCCTCTTTCCCTCCCTCGCCCCGAACATCAACCTTTTCATCCTTCTTTTCTTCGTGTCGTCTTTTCTTCGTCTTTTTCGTAGTAACCAAGCATCATCTACTCATCCCCATCCTCCTCCTCCTCCTCCTCCTCCTCCACCTTCTTGATCGTCGTTTCTATCTCTTGACGTTTCCCTCGAGAACGACGGTGACACATCGACCTGTCCACCAACTGCACCGGCACATGCTATAATCCCAATGCATCGGAGGGCCTAATGTCTAATACTTATCTACTCTATACAACAGAACGATGGGCTTATCTTTCTCTATCTTTTCATGAAAATGATGCTGAAAGATATTGCTCTAACCAGAAATACGCACACGAAAATATAATAGTTAGATTCATTGATAATAATTAACTTTAAGTTTATGTTAATCATTCAATTGATGCTTAACGTTTAAAGATAATTATTGTTCATAAATTATCGATTATATCAAAATTTGTTGAATATGTTTATTTATTTCGTCACTAATGGTATTTTACTATTGCATTATTTCATATTGAGAACATTAAAAATATATTATATATAAAAATCAATTTAAAAAGCAACAAAAAAAAATTATGATATTCTAATTAACATTATTTTTATCAATTGGTATTAAAAAACACTTCTCAAATTTGAACTTCAAATTATTCTTCAAGTTTAGTTATGTTGTTAAATATTAATTCAGTGATAACATTTTTCTTTCAGTTCATCAAATAGGTCAAAAATCAATATTACATAAAAATACTTCTAATTAAAACAAATATCATAAAATCCATATAATTATTTTATCTAATCATTACACTTTCTATCAATAGAAATAAGATAATCGACTCTGAAACATGGGGTGAATAATCGAACAAGGAGTCAATGTCAAAAATGAGAGAAAGAAAGATGAAAAGGACAAAGATAAAAAATAAAAGGGAGAAAGAGATATATAAGTAAGAAAAATTCATTATCGTTGATGCAACAAACGTCGAGGTTGAAATCGTTTAAAGTTGCTAAAAGAAAATCACTAAGTAGAACGTAACCACCGCGCAAGTCGTCCGCAAGATTCTCGACAAAATCGTCTCCGCCATCTGGCATGCAACTGGCCGACAACGTGCAAGCCGCATTACGATAGTAATTGTTGCAGTACTTTCCCCTTTCCTTACTCTACTCTCCTTATTCTTCTTCTTCTTCTTATCTTTTTTTTTTCTTAAGTTTCTTTTTCTTATCCTTCTCTTTCTCACTCTTATTGCGGTTGCGTGCACATATTTTCCTTATTTCTCTCTCGCTCTCTCTCTCTTTCACTCTTGGAAATGATAATGCTTCCTTTCTTTGCGAATTAAATAAAGAAAGAAAAAGAAAGAGAAGGATTCCGAATATGAGGAATGTTAAAGTTTTTTTTTTATTTTTTTCCAAACGAAATACACGAAGCTCTTCCTAATTCCATTGCAAAGTTCGTCCTTTTGGACCGATACAAGAACGACGTTTAACGACGTAGTAGTAGTAGTACCTTCCTCGAAAGAAGATAGGTCGAAGACACTAAGCGAAATGCCGTAAATTTATCATGGATTCCGTTTTATGTCGAGCATTTCTTGGAACGAATCTACTGTTACTCACTCACCGACATACGATACCGTTCATCTTTACTATTATCTATCTATTCAATGTATCGACAAGAACTTTGAACAAACGATAATCAAATCAATCTATTTTTTTTTTTTCACATGATTTAATTAAAAGTAAACGCATTGTTTAAAAAGAAGAATTCAATCTGTAATTAACTTTACAATTAAAAATAATCCGATCATACATATTTTCGACTAGATCAACAACTTTTATAAAATCATCAATCAATTCGGCTTTTTTAATAAATCTGATATTTTCTCATTTTGATTTCCTTCCTCAAACATTACAAGAAGAATTTATAAAGATAGACATCCCATTTAAGAGGTCAAGGAATGTTAGTCCAAATGAAATCGAAGTAATCGATTCCGAGCGTCGTCCTTTATCGGTAAACGGCCTTGCCCCTTGCAGAAGAAAGTTCTATTTCCATGGAAGATATAGGAAATTCTTGGCAAATACACGACTACGAATTCGATTTGTATGCGGAAAGGGGAAATGCAACGTTCAGAGTTTTTATCCTACGTTAAGATAAATGCCACGAAACTAAATTTTAAATGATTACGTAAAGAAGACTGCTAGATTATACAATCGAATGGTGTACTTCGCCATTATTTGATCGAATCAAGTTATGGGCGAGTGAACAAAATTCATGGATGCATGTGCATGCATGCGTGTTTGTGTGTATCGTGTTATTTTTCAAATCTAATCTTCGTATTGCGATTCAATCTTCGATCGGTCGTAAAGCTGTTGTTCATCCTGCTGTTTGCGAGACAACACTCCGAAGGATTAACTATGCGCATACCATACACCGAATAATACGATTTATCAACCATTTGAAAATCGAGTAACCGATAAAACGTAAATCTATGAACAAAGCTCAGAAAGAGAGACGGAAAGAAAGAGAGAAATAAAAGAAAAAAACAAAAAATCGATTTTCTTCGTTCGTCCAAGAAACGTAAAAGATTCCAGTTAGTATTCAGTCTGGTTCATCCATAAACTTCGCTTAACTGCACGTAACTGCACGTAGCTGCACGTCTGAAACGCGCTTTGATGTCTCTTAGCGAGACATGAATTTTGTAATACGCGAGTTAACTTTTCACCGCAAAAGTAGTTATACCATTCTTTTGTTAAAACTTCAACAAACGATCTTAGTTAGAAAATTATTTCGAATAAAATAATATAAAGGACAAATTATCTACTGCATGTAAATTAGTGAATCTTACTTTTGAGATTTCAATTATATCGAGATTGAGAAATGCAATGTACGCTTTTACGTTATACGGACTTCGCAATGTTGTGTGCCAGAACGTCATTAAACAATTGCAAACTGAATGGAGTGTGACAAAGTGATGTGATTCGGTCGTCATGCTTGTATATAATGGTGCGACCAACGACACGAGCAAATTCTTCATTATTTACTTATATCTTATTGAGAAAATGCATGGAATTGTGAAAAAATAATGCGACGTGCATGTCATAACATTTAACGACGATTTTAATAACCAACCTATCGTTTATCTCACAATACTATGTTAATGTAATCATAATTCACACTCTCTCTTTTCTTTTGTTTCTCTTTTACCCTATTACAGTTACTTCATAACGAGGTACTCTTGTCCAACAAAATGGATGATGAAATAAACTGCAACTTCGCCTTACCCAAATCCTGCGATTTAGAAAGAAATACAAATTTTCAGTCACGCCTAACCGTAATAGTAAACACACTCTAGCAATTTCAGTCTCTCAGTACTGCTCTTAAGTATAATAAGAAATGTAATAGAATATCATTAGACGCGTCGACTTCAAGGAAATGCATCGTGAGCGGATCTTACAAACCGGCTTCTCTATAAAAGCCCTGGTCTCTTTGTTTCATCCGTTATACGCTCCAAGTGATTATGCAGCCATTACAATGGGTAAGTTCAAAATTACGTCGTCGATACGTGTTACTTTCCAGAAAAAAAAGAGAAAAACTTATTCACAGTAACATATTTTACGCGCAGTTGAAAATACTACTGTTGTTGAATTATGGCGCCGGGCGACAAGTGCGGCTGGGACGACAAGCCGGATATAACTATCAAAGGCCGAGGGTACCGTTCTTCTTACCGACCGAGAATGTCGGCTCGAATGTACCTTCCTATCCCGCACAACGTTTGAACTATCCAAGTTATCCAAGTTATCCAAGCTATCCAAGTTATCCTACTTATAATTATCCTGCTCCTTATCGACCTTTACAACCAGCCCAACCATCATATCCATCTCCTCAGCCACCACCTTCTTATCCATCTCCACGGCCACCACCACCCTCGTATCCATCTCCTCGACCACCACCTCCTTCGTATCCATCTCCTCGACCGCCACCTCCTTCGTATCCATCTCCAAGACCACCACCACAACCACCTTCGTATCCGTCTCCTCGACCTCCAACAACAACACCACAACCGCCACCTGAAGAAGAAGAAATAATAATAATATCTACACCAGCTCCATATCCTGCATCACGCCAACCAACATCACCATCCCCTACACCCCAACCTCAACCATCTTATCCACCATCACGACCTCCACCTAGACTTCCACCTGCTCCTCTTGCACCACCACCATCTCAACCACCCTTTCAACCATCTCCTAGACCAATACCAACTTTCTTACCTCCTTCACGACCATCTTTTACACCTACAACACCAACACCTTATCCACCATCAGGACCACCTTCGAGGCCACCATCAACAACACCAATACCTTATCCTCCTGCTGGACCTCCACCACGACCACCACCACCACCT